TAGCACATAGACGGCAGAATAAGAAGGAACATTGGGAAAGAAATGTGAATATCTCGGGAACCAGTAAACCTTTGACTGTAATCTTTTTACCATCTGAAAGGACTGTTTCTTAACTTTATCCACGGTTTTGTTTCATTCTAAAAGCTTTAAACTTGACGGAGATATTGCTCAAACGGCGAAACACCTTATAATTCATATATATTTATTTGCTAATTCTTACAAAAAGTAATGTGACTCAAGGGAAATATATTGGCGCCCGGAAGTCTGGCGGACCGAATACCATATGATAGAGTATTTCCCGGCGCGAGCGGACGGTTGTTGATCGCATCAGAAGAGGAGAAAATGCTAAAAAACCGGATCTTGTATATTTTTCCATGATTCATCAAAACTTTTTGATTTTAAGCTCAAATAAATTGGAACAAAGGAATGATTGATGATCTGGATCTCGGATCATAAGCATGAAGTGATTCAGAAGTCCGCGGATCAGTTAATTAATTGGGAAAACTCTAGAACATTAGTAATGATGTGGCTTCACAAAAAGGGGTGAATTAGAGAACAGTCTAGAAAGTTCCTTTATAGCCGAATCATTTCTAAAGATAACCGTTTGTAATTAAGGCGGTGTAGAGCATAGCTTCAGCGCTACAAGACCCCGCTAAGATCGGCCCAAAAGACAAAGAAATGAATTACTTATTGCTGAGTCATGTCCTAAGTCCATTATTAAGCTTACACAGCCCAAGCCCCTATATCATTCTAGAACTATCTATAATACAAATGTAGCACATGTAACTAGTGCGAGGCGTGGGAGTAGAGAGGCCTCTGAAAAGCATAAAAGGCCGCCGCTTCTGCCCCTCTCAAACCTCAGGTAGAAATATAAGTTTAATTCTCCTCACCAGTGGTTGGTTCGTTTGCTCCAAAAGATAAAAGCAAATATTAGTTGTTAGCTAATATAAAACTAACACATCACTCTAAGCGTGAGTTAGGGTCAGTTAGACACAGCTGAACAAAAGTGTCATAGTGAGAATTAGTGAGAATTTGGTGGAGGGACTTCTTAATTGAATAATCTCTCAGCAATACTTGGTTATCACACCACAGGAGAAAAGTGAGCGATCCTGAACCTGCTAGATAACTAGCATGCACTCTAAGCGATAGAAAGAGCAGTTTGGTCACTCCTGTATTGAGTAACATTTATTGCGGAATTATTTTATTAGTAGTTTTCTTTCAATAAATTATCAGGAAAATCACGTCCTACTGAAAAGTGGTATATCTGTTAGAAACGGGTGGATACAGACGACTCCGGAGTGGAATTGGAGACTTAGCATGGAGGGACCTTGGCCTCAGCGACTCAAGTGGAGCGCTGTGCCGTTGCTGTTTGTCCATTTGGTCCTTAATTTCACAGTAGGCGAGCAGGAAGTCTCTAGGGGGCATTTCAGGTCGATTTCGGACTGAGCCCAAAATGAGTATGTACAAGTGCCGATATATATAATGGAGGGGGCAAAGTACAAGGAAACAAAGGGGATCCGAATCAGAACGAAGATGTCCGAACGGGAACAAAGGGTAGACAGAAGCGGAGCGGTACCGAAGGTCACAAGGCAGGACCTGTGATACCTCTGAAAGGAGGTAGGGAGGGTGAGGCCCAGAGGGGCAGGAGGATGAGGAGAAGTGGGGATGATGACTAACTGGCTAGAATGGGAAGAAGCAGCAGTCCAAATAGGGATGAGGGGAAAACGTGAGAGATACATTACAAGTGGTGAAAGTGCCAAAGGCGATCCGCGAAGCTCAGAGGTTGCGGAGGTTACGGAGGTTACGGAGGTGGGGTTGAAAGTCCGAGGAATATTGGCAATGGTGTTTACATAGTATGAGGTCACCAATGCAATGGACTAAGACCGAGGTGGAGTCAAAGTCCGAGGTAGGGACTATGACAGAGGCTCGGAGCAAAGGTATGAGCGGTGCCCGAGTACGAAGTACGGGACAGCGGTGGAAGGTCGTAACTTGGCAGGAGGTCAGCAGAAGAGTACCAGAGGGAGGAGAGAGGAGAAAGGTAAGGGAGAAGGAGTGGCAGAAAGGAGAGTTGTCAGGTCCAAAGGTGAGTATCGGAGCAGACGGGGGAAGCGTAGGAGGGTGACGGGAGGGTGGAGGTGTTGTGAAGGAGGAGTGGAGTAGGAGGAGGAGGAGTAGTAGGAGGGTGGCGAGAGGGGCGGTGTTTGGTCCGAGGTGAGTATTGGAGCGGACGGAGATAGGGGAGGAGAGGGAAGGAGAAGTAGAGGTGGCATGGGGGGTAGAAGGAGGTGTGTTGCCAGGACCGAAGGTGAGTATCGGAACGGGCAGCAGTAGGGTATGACTCCGGAGGTGAAGAGGGTGGAGGTCTGGAAGTTGGGTTGGGGTTGGGTATGCACAGATATGACAATATCCAGGTGTAATATTGACTAGAAATCATAGTAAAGTCAATATAAGATATGTTACCCGTAGACGATCTATACGTCAGGTGAGATCGTTGGGGGGTGTTTATTGTTGTTTATACAGTGAACAATCATATATTTGGCAACCAAAACACGGTCAGTATGCAAATCAGCACAAACTCTAATATCGTTATTGGACGTAGGAAACTGGTTACATAAGGTGATCCAGCTCTGCTCCTTCACCAGCCCCTTCACACACTCACCTGGAAGTTGAAGCAGTGGACCTGGGGGGAAAGGAACAGGAAGCATTTGATGGGCTGAAGGAGGCTGTCACCTCAGCACCAGTCCTCACCTTCCCATCGGACTCAGGTCAGTTCCAACTGGAGTGTGATGCCTCCAACTTCGCAACAGGGGTGGTACTCTCCCAGCTCCAGACAGATGGGGAACTCCACCCGGTGGCGTTCATGTCAAAGGGCTTCTCAGATGCAGAGAGGAACTACAAAATCTATGACAAGGAGATGCTTGCCATAGTCCGAGTCCTGGAAGAGTGGCACCATTTCCTTGAAGACACCCCTGAGAGGTTCGATATATACACCAACCACAGAAACCTCTCCTACTTCCGCTCAGCCCAGAGGCTAAACCAGTGTCAGGCATGGTGGTCCCTCTACCTCTCCTGCTTCCACTTCCTGCTAGTCCATAAACCAGGGAGACTCATGGGGAAGCCCAATGCCCTCTTGCATCGGCCAGACCACCCGAAAGGGAAGGACGACAACATGGACATGACCCTCCTACACCCGGGCTGGTTTGAGGGAGTGGTAAAGGCAATGAGAGAGCTGGAAAGGGGGACCCTACACTCAGATAATGGGAGAAGGAAGGGGAACTGATCCTCCACTGGGGCCAGGTGTACGTCCCAAAAGACCCACAGCTCCGCCATGACCTGGTACAGCTCCACCATGACTCAGTGGCAACAGGCCACCCCAGGCGGTGGAAGACTGTGGAGCTCGTCTCCCAAAACTACTGGTGGCCCCAGATGGCACAGTATGTTGCACAGTATGTCTCAGGGTGCGACACCTGCAACAGAGTGAAGACATTCCCATCTTGGAAAGTTGGGAAGCTCATCCCAAACAAGGTCCCCACCCGCAGGTGGCAGGTGATTTCGGTAGACACCATTGGGGAACTCCCAGACTCCAAGGGGTACTGTCAGGGGACGGCTCCCAGGTCCCCATGACCCTCCCCTATGGTCCACAGTCTCAGGTGTAACCAGCCCTGTCCAGGGCACAACCTACTGTGGGTCAGAGATGAGAAGGAAGTTAACTTCTCATCTTCCCACAGTGGCCACAATAGATCGAAAACTTCCGGAGATATCCGGAAGTCACATGAGACCCGAGACCTGAGGTCTGGGCCATCCAGCCGCACTGAGCGTCCAGCACAGGGTGTGTGCAGGCAGTGCAACAGCTGGGTGCAGGCGTGGGTGCAGGTGCAAGTGTGGGTGTGGATGCGGGTATGGGCTAGGTCAGGGTGTATGCCCTGACAGGTACAACGCAATCTAGGTAGTGGTAGACCGACTTTCCAAGCACATTCACGCAATCCCCACAGTCACTACAGTAGACTCAGCAAGCCACTGAGAAAAAAAATCCCATGAGAAAATCCTCCATGAAGTAGGACTAGAATCCCATTGAGAAGCAGGATTTTGTCCAAATTTGTCATGTTAGAGAAATCCCACTGTCTTACATGATTGTGACCAGAATCATGTCAAAAAGTCCTGCTACATAATGGGGAATAGTTGGTTTATCCTACAATTATTCATGATGATATCGTAGGGAGTCATGCTCAAAAAAAGGTCAAATCCTGTCTACTGATTGCTTATGTCTGACTGGACAAAGGAATTGAGCTATCGACATGATGGTATGACAACATGACTAGAGCACAGCAAATGAGCAACAAATGAGATGACAATCAAAAGGGAAAAGGTATAAAGTTGTAGTGGTGTCAGGAACTTGAGCAGTGGAAAATTTTCGAAGTGAATAGTGGAGAGTTAAGAGCAAATCAAGTAAGAGATTGTTGGGAGTGTGGTAATCGGTGCAACATAAGGTTAGTAGCTAGCAATGTTACCTGTGAGAGAAGCACACAACCACAACAAAATGCTAAGCACCCACCTATGTAAAAATGCACCTAGTAATGGGTGACGATCTTGTGGTTTCTTGCTGATGGCCTACTAGTGGCAACAGGTTTCGAGGTTGAAATGATAGTTTGATGGTATCCAACTTGAAGACCTTCAGAAATGACAGATAGGGAGAGTAAATGAACCTACCATCTACATGCCCATTCCTATCAGTGCAACTAGTCTGTGGGGATTGATCCATGCTCTCACTGACGCTGACCCTGTGACAAAGGGGTCGGGCTAGCTTGGGATTATGGCAGTGGACCAGCTTAATGCAGAATGGCACTTACGTTTGGGTCTTGGGACAGCTCCACATATTTCCTCCATTGTGCTTACCAGGCTTGCAAAGAGACCAATGATAACTTACCGTGTTTTCCTTTCACATCCGACCTCTGATTGGTGCTCTTGGGTGTAGCTCAGTGATCTTCACCCTGAGCCTGTTTTCAGCACTTCCCTTTGTTGTAATTGAGGAAATTGGGACCTGCATCACTTCGTTCATTCTCATCTTCACCACAGGCGGAACCCTTGCTGCTATCCTCCATATCTTTGTCATTAATTTCATCACTATCTTCATCAGTGTCATTGATGATGCACTGTCGTGGCACAACTCCTATTATGATAATGTTAATCTGAATAAACAGGGGCCAGGAACTTACTCTTCCTTTGCACAGATCCCAGTGCCCTACTGCATCCATCATCATCATGACTCCCTTCACTGGTACTGGGCATGTTGTGCTGAGCAGGTCCGTGTGACTGGGTCCTGTTGGTGTTCACTGCAGCACCATGATTAAGTGCATCTCACATCCAACATGCTGAATCAGATGGGTAACTATGAGGAAAAGTGGACGATGACTTACCCTTTACAGATTCGCCTTCCGAGAAGATTTTTGGGAATAGATTGGTGGAAAAAGTATACATGTTACATACCATATTTACCCCTTTTTTCCGTCTCCTGAGAACAGTCTTCCTATTCTCAATCGTTGTCCTGATTAGTGGATCAAGGGGCCACACATATTCATAGTCATGTTCAAGCCATGGGAATTCTTCCTGTCAGGGCACACCCCACCTGACCCCGCACCGCGCCGCCCTACTCCACTTCCCCGCTATCACCCTTTGTCTCTTCTTTCCCCTTTCCTTCTTTCTTTCTATTTCCTTCTATGGTCGACTTCCCTTTCTCTATGTATTACTAACACACCTAACCCCGCTCCCCCGATCGCCGCGCCTGCCACGCGCATTCCCACTCACAGAGCGGCACACCTCCGGGATCTCCCACGGAGATACCCAGGGGAGTGCGGCTGTGTGTGGGAATGACGTGGCTCCTCCCACATGACCCTGACTGCATGTATATAATAGCACCTGGGGTGGGAACAGAAGAAGCAGCCTTCTTCTCAACTTCCCACTTCAGACTAAGTGGTTGGGGATGCTCACCCCACAATGGGACCATCGCTACGCATAGCCGACACCTGTCCCATCGAGTCCCTCGCGCCAGGACCTCGCCGCTTTCGGAGCTGTCCCTGACACTTCCATCACCTAAGTTGTAAAATGCAGAATCAGGATTGCAATGTAGCAATGACTAGGATACTTACATCGATTGCTATTGCGCCCAGGCACTGAAAGCCAATTTTGTTATACCTTGTCTCCCCATCTAGGAAAGCTTTTCCAAGGTGGGTACGGACTGCAGTACAAATGGATTCCTGAAGCTGAAGTCTTAAGTATTCAATAATTTGATGATATGAGAGAGCTTACACACAATAGAGTCATCATATGCTTGTCTATCTGCATTTCCTTAGCAAGGGAATACCCTCCATTTGAATGATTGGGTCGGCCATGCGGCATTGGAATCCGGCCCTGGACACGTTTTTTTCGTGCTGTATGACTTGAGTCAGCTTTTGAAGACAAATAAATTGTTTAAATGGCTCCTTACACACGTTATCTTCTGCTAGGAGCTCTACCGACATGAAGATGCCATAGCATAGCACGAGCCTGAACCAGACACAGCACAGGGCACAGACGAAGGGCACACCTTCACACTCTGCCTCTAGCCTCCTCTGCTCTTGATCAATCTGGGAGATGGTTTGCTTCTGGGTAGGGTGAGGCATAGTTTGTGAGTTGTGTAGGAGATGTAAGTCATGGAGTGTGAGATAGAAATCCAAGAGTCAACATAAACATATTCACACAATGTGTCCAAGTGCTATTTGCCCAACTCATTGCTCTTCCCTCAGTTGTGACATTTTAACCACTATTGGGTCTCTGTTACTCTACATCTGGTGTTTTCATCTGGTACTGCATCCAAACTAAGGACTCCATCACCCCTATGGACCACAGCCACTCTGGCATGCCACCCTGGAGAATTTGCAGGCACTCACTTAGTACAGCTTGTAGACGGAGCAAGCAGGAGAGAGCACATCTTTTGGGACACCATGCTATGGTGCAGTCCCAGGAGCCTACAGGAAATCTTGGCACTTGGGAAGGAGCCGCTGCTGTTTCTTCAGATGACATTGAGAGTAACCAAGGGGACAGCGCGATGAATGAAGATGGGATGGGCAACTCTCACCTACTGGGACCCAGGATTTTGGGAATATGTGAGTGATATACTCCATCTGACGGTTCATTGCCTCTAACTCACCTATCAGTGACAATGCCACTTCTGATGACCAAGGAGGCCAAGATCTTTCTGACTCAGATGGATTCGAAGATGTCAGCCCAAGTATTCTCCATGATTGGGTGGAGGCCATTGCTAGATACAAGGCCGATGCTGAACTCCGTCGCCACAATGACTTCTGTGTGTATCAAGCAGATATCTCCCTTATGTTATTTACCAATGAACACAATTACAGACCACCTACCATTATCTGAAATTGACCATATCCACCTGAAGATGTTTGATGTATTGCTGCGAGGTGATCTTTCCAACACAACCTAGATCTCATCCAATCTCGCTTCAAGAGTGAACTCAACCTTGCCTCCTTATACAAGCTCCATTCCTACATGTCAAGGCTTTCTCATGTCATAGAATACACCTATGACTGCTGTGTTAACAGCTGCTGCTGTTTTATCACTGAATTTGAGAATATCCATTCATGTCCATACTGTCAACATCCTTGCTTCAAATCTAATGGCACTGCATTTCAAACACTCCACTACCTTCCTGTTGGTCCATGAATTAAATCGCTTTATCTCAACAACCACTTCTCCAAGATTCTCCAATATCGTGGTGAACTCAAACTTGATGGTGCCACCACCAGTGATGTCTTTGATGGGGATCACTACCGCTTCCTGCTTAGTCAGCTCGTACAAATAGATGGGAAGCCCCTTGGCCATGTTTTCTTTAGTGACACATGCGATGTTGCCTTAGGAATTATGGCTGATGGATTCCAGATCTTTAAGCGCTCATGCAACAGTGGTGCTGTATGTTGGCCAATAGTTGCAATTAACCTCAACCTCCCCCCAGAGGAGTGTACGAAACTCTCAAATGTCATCCTAGTGGCAGTTGTTCCAGGTCCTAATGCACCAAAGGATTTTAATTCCTTTCTCTGGCCTTTTGTTGATGAATGCAAATTACTTGTGCAGGGCGACTGGGCTTTTGACTCTCACTTGAATGAAACTTTTAAGCTCCATGTTTACCCGATATCATGTCATGGCGATATGGTAGCAATGAAGCATATCATGAATTTCAAAGGTCCAAATGGCATTACTCCATGTTCGATTTGTCACATCACAGGTACTCGCAATCTCTCAGGGAGCAAGACCTACTATGTTTCTCATATGCCATCACGTAACCAGCCTATGGGAAATGGAACATACTGGGATTCTCAAAGTCACCTACTCCATACAGAATCAAAGTATTTCTCATTTATCTCGACACTTGATTCCCTTAGAGGTGGACATAAAGTCAACTTGGCCAGAGTCCAGCATGAATCTGGCATCAATGGGAAATGTGTTCTTACTGAGCTACCATCAATCTCAATCACCCACTCCTTCCCTTGCGATTGGATGCATCTGTGTCTGGAGAATCACTCGAAAAATCTTGTCTCCTTCTGGCAAAGGAGATACAAGGATCTGAACGAGGGAAAAGAGCACTACCGGATCCCCGACAATGTGTGGGAGCAGATCAGGGAGGAAACCTCTCATGCAGGTGACACAATTCCCTCAAGCTTTGGTCATTGCACTCCTAACATCTGGACTGAGCAACACCTATTCACTGCCGAAGACTGGTCCTGTTGGATGATTCATATGGCACCCTATGTCTTGTGAGGCCGATTCAACAGACCAAAATATTATCACCATTTTATGAAGTTCAACTCGATTCTCAAACACATGATACAGTACTCTTTCACAGAGCAAGATTTAATCGAACTTGAAGATGACATTATTGTGTATGTGAAAGAGTATGAGAGGTAAGCAACCCTGACACTATTTCTCTGCCTAACGATGAGCTGAGGTCAGTGGTTATCTACCATGTAGTATCTACTACCAGTTTTCTTCCAAACAACTGTCCACATGCCCACTCACTGTCCATGCCCTCCTTCACATCCCTCTTAATATCCACAACAATGGACCCCCTTGTAATAATTGGACATTCATTATGGAAAGGTGGTGTGGGTCATTGCTCCCATGCATCAAATCCTGAAGGGAACCGTTCACATCCATCACCTTACGACAATACCAGGCAGATCAGGACTTTGTCATATCCATACAATCCCGACCTCCGCTCCGGGCTCCCGGAACTCCAAACTCCGACTTCCGGAGCCCTACTTCCCTTCCGTCACCTTCTCCTTGCCGACTCCCAAGAGGTTATCCCACCTCCGGCTCAGACACCACCTTCAGTCCGACTCCGGAACATTCCGGGTCCAACCCCAACCTCAACACCTTCCAGACGAGTACGCAAAACCTATGCTCCCGACTCCGGACCTCCGCTCCGGAATCCTGTTCACGTCTCTGTCTCCGGAACCTCCGGTCTTAGCTCCGACCTCGGACTTTGACCCCACCTCCACTTATACCCATTGTATTGGTTAGCTCATTCCATTTAATTATGTTTGCCAATATTCTGGAGTTTAACTTCCGAGTTCGGACTTTCCGGACTTATGTCGGACCTTGCAACTATTGCATCGTCCTATTCAATTCCGCTATTCTCCCTCATTCCTATTTGGGCTGCTGCTTCCTTTCTATTCAGTCAGCTAGCCATTCCCCACTCCCAACCTCCTTCCTTCCTCCTTGGGCCTTGGCCCTTCATTCCTCCTTTGAGAAACACCATTGAGTCAAACCCTTGACCCTCGGTGTTGTTCCTCTTTCCATCTCCCTTTGTCTCCTTTTGTCCTACCCTCGCTCCTTTTGATTCCAGACCCCTCCTTATATACAATGTACATAGTAACTTGTAACCTCAGTCCCGAAATCGACCTGAATTCCCCCCAAGAGACTTTCCCTCTGCTAGATCCGAAATTAGGGACCCCCAGGACAACCAGCAATGGCACAGCACTCCGCCTGAGTCGCTGAGGCCGAGGTCCTTCCATGCTAAGTCTCCGATTCCACTCCGGAGTCGTCCAAATCCGCCAGTTCTAACACACTTCGAGATCATTAACCGATTCAACCTTACAGATCTCATGCCAATCAACCCCAACAAAAACCTTCCCTCGCAACATGAGAAGTATTTGTCCCAATCTGATTGTGCATTATTGTTCTGTGTAACCGATGTCCTTATGCTTCAACAGATCCTATCTCATTCTTATGCAATCCAGTCATGGGCTCCCATATCCCTGAGCCTTCCATTCGCAAAAAAGTTGCCAAGCAACTCTGTACATCATTTGGTGGTACAATGAGCTTCTGGCTGGAGCTCATCCCGCAAGTAATGCCATGCTGGACCAAAGTTTGCATTGGGAATGGTGGGGATCTTATTCGTGGGGCGATCGCTCACAGTGCAAGTGTGAACGAACAGAATTTACGTGATGCATCTTTTGTCTGGGTATGTCCAACCATATTGATGCATCACTAGGATTCCCTTCATCGCTTATACACATAAATATATCCACATAGTATGAACTTAACATCGATATCAAAGCACATCTCCCCAAGGCCGAGCCCAAGTTTGTCCAGCGGGTCTTTTATGGTCGCCTCGAATATATACTTGAATGTGCCATTCCACCAAATAGGGTTTCAAAGAATGGTGAGCCAAGAATACGCCTTCTTGCTGTAATCACAACACTGGACACCTGTCATATCCATGCATACCCGATCCCGACCCGACTTCCGGACCTCCTCCTTTCCCACCTCCGGAGTCATACCCTACCGCTGCCCGTTCCGATACTCACCTTCGGTCCTGGCAACACACCTCCTTCTACCTCCCATGCCACCTCTACTCCTCCTTCCCTCTCCTCCCCTATCTCCGTCCGCTCCGATACTCACCTCGGACCAAACACCACCCCTCTCACCACCCTCCTACTCCTCCTCCTCCTACTCCTCCGCTCCTCCTTCACAACACCTCCACCCTTCCGTCATCCTCCTACGCTTCTCCCATCTGCTCCGATACTCACCCTCAGACCTGACAACTCTCCTCTCCACCACTCCTCTCTCCTCCCTCTGGTACTCTTCCGCCGACCTCCTGCCAAGTTACGACCTTCCACCGCTGTCCCATACTTTGTACTCGGGCACCGCTCGTACCTTTGCTCCGAGCCTCCATCATAGTCCCTACCTCGGACTTTGACTCCACCTCGGTCTTAGTCCATTGCATTGGTGACCTCATACTACGTAAACACCATTGCCAATATTCCTCGGACTTTCAACCCCACCTCTGTAACCTCCGTAAGCTCCACAACCTCCGAGCTTCACAGATCGCCTTCAGCACTTTTGCTGTTTGTAATGTATCTCTCGCATTTTCCCCTCATCCCTATTTGGACTGCTGCTTCTTCCCATTCTAGCCTGTTAGTCATCATCCCCACTTCTCCTCATCCTCCTGCCCCTCTGGGCCTCGCCCTCCCTACCTCCTTTCGGACGTATCACAGGTCCTGCCTTATGACCTTTGGTACTGCTCCACTTCTGTCTACCCTTTGTTCCCGTTTGGATGTCTTCATCCCAATTCGGATCCCCTTTGTCTCCTTGTGCTTTTGCCCCCTCCATTATATATCGGCGCTTGTACATACTCGTTTTGGGCTCAGTCCGAAATCGACCTGAAATGCCCCCTAGAGACTTCCTGCTCGCCTACTGTGAAATTAAGGACCAAATGGACAAACAGCAATGGCACAGCGCTCCGCTTGAGTCGCTGAGGCCAAGGTCCCTCCATGCTAAGTCTCCGATTCCACTCCGGAGTCATCTGTATCCGCCCCATTCTAACAACACCGAAGGACATGATGCAACCTCGGAATTGACATATTTCAAATCGGTCTCCTCATATGTCAAGGTTGTGGATCTAAACGCTGTATGTGCTGTTGTTGGCTGACTCAGGGTTGGGAAGGTGGATCCATGGTGGGCAATTGTAGATCACAGCAGATCCTGGTCTCGCACCGTATTCAAGGACGATTCACTATCTATGGGTGCCCAACAGGACATAGGTTCATGATGTACACGTCATAATATGCATTACAAAACAGTAATATTACGACTAAAAGATTATTGTGCACATAAGTTTTGATGATAAAATCCTCCTTGCACAGGATTTAGATAGTCTGAAACCTCAATCCTGTCACTGAGAATCCTACACAGTGCCAAGATATTTCATGGAATCCTCATGTGTGCATGATTTTATCATGGAATCTTTTTCCTCAGTGAGGTGTGGCCCGGCTCTTCCTCAAACATGTCTGGAGGCATCATGGCCTCCCAGAGGAAGTGCTCAGCGACCGAGGCAGCGCATTTGTCTCCCACTTCTCCAGGGAGCTAGCAGACCTCTTAGGACCTCTTAGGGATCAAGCTCGCCCCTTTGACAGCCTACCACCCACAGACTGATGGCCAGATGGAGCATGTCAACCAGGAAATAGAAACCTACCTCCGGGTGTTCATCAACCACAGGCAAGATGACTGGGCTGACTGGCTGCCACTTGCCAAGTTCACCTATAACAACTGCATCCACTCTTCCACCCTGCCACAACCCGGCATCCCCTGGGGTCAGATGACCTCCTCCCTGACCTTCTCCCATGCCCAAACACTCCCCGCACACTCCACTCACCGCCCGTCACCGTCTAACCACTTCCCACCACCTCCCCACCTCCCCACAACCCCTCTCCTAATTGTCGTTGAATGACCTAGCAGCGCAGAGCACCATGACCTTTTGTCCCATGTTTCGCTGCACCCTGTTACCCCACAGCAAAGGTCATGTTTGACCTTCGCTGTCTTAAACACATGCTTCTTGTTTGTTTTCCTTCTTCTTTTCTCTGCCCACAATCTCCGCAAGATCTGGCGACTTATTCTCTATTCAGTTCCCTAGCGCTTATATACAGCTTGTAACTAATGCTTGTACTGCAGTTCAAAATCAACTAGAACTTCTCCCTAAGCTTACATCTGTTCCCTGTAAGACCTCCACCTTCTCAAGTATCGGGACCGCATTGAGAATGAGGCACAATGCTCCTCCCTGAGTCATTGAAGCCAAAATCCTGGCCTGCTCGCCTAAGTAGCCTTGACCTTGAGATCAGTGGGGTTATTCCTCGCTAAAGCTCAGTCGTGGGTAGGGCACCTGTATCACTAGCAGTGTAAGGAGTGGTAACCCCACCCCTTATTTCCCATTAAACTAAGCCTTTCCTCCCATACTGTTGCAAATAATAACTTCATACAAGTTACTTTTGTTGGCAGCCTGAGGAACTAGGCTAACCAGGGTTGGCACCTACACCAACCCCTTACAAGTGGCCAACATTTGGTCGCCTACAGCTACCATCAGCAAAGCTTCGCACGGTTCTGACACACCCACCACGCCCCCTTCAAGCTTGACTCCAGGCAACATCCACACATGGGGACCGAACCGACCTGCATGTCCGAAGTTGAAGGGGCCAACAACTTTGCCTCTTGGATGATGAAGATGCAAGAGGAGGAAAAGGCAGCACTGGAGCATGCAGCAGAAGAGATGGCACCGTACTATGACAGGAACCGGAAGGCAGCACCAGTCTACCAAGTTGGGGACAAAGTCTGGCTCAACACTCAAAACTACACGACAGACTGACCAACCAAGAAGCTTGACCACAGATGGATTGGCCCCTTCCAGATCGTTGTAACAGGGTATCTATCCCAACATCACACAGGCTCACAGGGGGGACAGTAATCTCCTGCCTGCCTCTCTCAATCTCACCAAAGGTCCTTGTAGTATGGTGTTGTAGGTGTCGCAGCTGTATAGTTGTGGCTGTGCAGTCATGGGACTACCCCAACTACACTCGCCAATGTATGTACATGAAAAGAATGAAAGAGCACTGTTTTGTAGTGCAAGGGTTTATCCCTGAAATATCATCAAGGTGGTATCCCCAGCAGCAGTAAAGCTACAGCTTACGGCCCATCAAAGAGGAATTCACCTGGTAGTCTCAGTCTCAAACACCTGCCCTGTCATATCCATACATACCTGATCCCGATCCAACTCCCAGACCCCCATCTTCACCACCTCCGGAGTCCTACCCTACTGCTGTCCATTCCAATATTCACCTTTGGACCTGACACCACACCTCCTCTTGCCCCTCCTCTCACCCCTCACCACACCTCCACCCTTCCATCCTTCTCCTACCTTATCTCCATCCACTGTAACAGGGAAATCCATCCCAACATCACACAGGCTCACAGGGGGGGACAGTAGTCTCCTGGCCTACTGACTGTCACTAAAAGAGGTCCTAGAGTACAGTGCTTTTGGTGTTGCAGCTATATAGTTGTGGCTGTGTAGTCATGGGACTACCCCAACTACACTCACCAATGTATGTACATGAAAGAATGAAAGAGCACTGTTTTGTAGTGCAAGTGTTTATCCCTGCAACACCGCTCCGATACTCACCTCAGACCGAACATCACTCCTCTCACCACCCTCCTCTCACTCCTCCGCTTACCCCTCACGACTCCTCCACCCTTCCGTCACTCTCCTACCCTTCTCCCATCCACTCCGATACTCACCTTCGGACCTGACACCTTTCCTCTCTGTCAGAGACCAGGTTGAGACGAAGGAAAGTGTTAGAATGGGGCTGATACAGACGACTCCAGAGTGGAATCGGAGACTTAGCGTGGAGGGACCTTGGCCTCAGTGACTCAAGCAGAGTGCTGTGCCATTGCTGTTTGTCCATTTGGTCCTTAATTTCACAGTAGGTGAGCAGGAAGTCTCTAGGGGGCATTTCAGGTCGATTTCGGACTGAACCAAAACGAGTATGTACAAGCGCCGATATATATAATGGAGGGGGCAAAAGCACAAGGAAAACAAAGGGAAACCGAATCGGAACGAAGACGTCTGAACGGGGACAAAGGGTAGAAGAAGCGGAGCGGTACCAAAGGTCATAAGGCAAGACCTGTGATACATCCGAAAGGAGGTAGGGAGGGCAAGGCCCAGAGGGGCAGGAGGATGAGAAGTGGGGATGATGACTAACTGGCTAGAATGGGAAGAAGCAGTAGTCCAAATAGGGATGAGGGGTAAATGCGAGAGATACATTACAAGTGGCGAAAGTGCCAAAGGTGATCCGCGAAGCTCGGGGTTGCGGAGCTTACGGAGGTTATGGAGGCGGGTTCACATGCGGGCTGTAGTTGTGAGAGGTATGTAAAGATGGGAGGATCAGGGAAGTGGGGGGAGGTCAGGGAAGGTGGTTCTGGGGTTGTATGGTCAGGCATGGTTGCCCTGACAGACACATTGTAAAAGCAATAAGAAATATTCTCACCTCAGACTCGTATTAGAGATCTGAGGGAGAGGGAGCCAAAGAGCTCGCTTTTTATATGCGATCTACACCAGTGGCAGGCCTGTCGCACAAAGAAAGAAAATGGGGTGTAGAAGACAGGCCCCCAAACTTCACTTCTGTCATATCCATACAATCCCAACCTCCGCTCCGGGCTCCCAGAACTCCGAACCTGACTTCCGGAGTCCTACTTCCCTTCTGTCACCTTCTCCTTGCCGACTCCCAAGAGGTTATCCCACCTCCGGCTCCAACACCACCTTCGGTCCGACTCCAGAACATTCCGGGTCCGACCTCAACCTCAACACCTCCCAGATGAGCATGCAACACCTATGCCCCTGACTCCGGACCTCCGCTCCGGAATCCCATTTTGCATCTCTGTCTCCGGAACCTCCGGTCTTAGCTCTGACCTCGGACTTTGACCCCACCTCTGCTTATACCCATTGTATTGGTTAGCTCATTCCATTTAATTACATTTGCCAATATTCCGGAGTTTAACTTCCAAGTTCAGACTTTCCAGACTTATGTCGGACCTTGCTGTTAGAACGGGGCTGATACAGACGACTCTGGAGTGGAATCGGAGACTTAGCGTGGAGGGACCTTGGCCTCAGTGACTCAAGCGGAGCGCTGTGCCATTGCTGTTTGTCCATTTGGTCCTTAATTTCACAGTAGGTGAGCAGGAAGTCTCTAGGGGGCATTTCAGGTCGATTTCGGACTGAACCAAAACGAGTATGTACAAGCGCCGATATATATAATGGAGGGGGCAAAAGCACAAGGAGACAAAGGGAAACCGAATCGGAATGAAGACGTCCGAACGGGAACAAAGGGTAGAAGAAGCGGAGCGGTACCGAAGGT